CGCAGTTTATTATTTCTAATGAACGCGTGTCTAAAACGGAGGACTCGTCCGGCGCGTTCAGCTAACGTGATTCATCCACGGGGCGAGATCATTCGGGGTGAAGCGTGCAAATTCGCCGCATGCCTCGTAGTCGGGCGCACGCTTGTCGGGTTAATACGTTAAAGCGGATAAGCAGCCGCGACGAAAACGCGACGGGATTTCGCGCGAAACGGAAAGACGGACAGCTCCGCCGGACTGTCACGCGCGGCACGCGGCATGACTAATTAATCCCGAGCCCTACACACAGGGCTATTTCAGTCGATCGGTGCCGGTGCCGGTGCCGGTGATCGACTTACTTAGGGACGACGCTCGCAAATTATCGCGGCCGCGACGAATCCGTCGTTGCGAATCGCCGAGAGAAGCCGGCCGGCGCGATTTTGATCGCGTCTCCGCCGCGCGGCCGCGGCCGGTCGTTCCACCTCGCAGGTAAATTTATCTCGTTAATTGCGTCGCGATCGACCAATCGACGGGCTCGCACCGCGCCATTGGTCCACGGCGTGTGCCGGTAACGGTAGGTGAACGGTACCGTAAGACCGATCCGGCCGGTTCCGCCGACGATAATCGGCTTTTTGACGATCGTCGGCAGTTTCGTCAGGAACGAGCTGGCGAGAATATAATATGCACGATTGTGTCGCACACTCGCGACTTTCACTCGTCCGTATCGCGAAATACATCGATCTGCCAACGTCGCGATTTCTCACTTCTATCATCTCGATGATATCCAGATTGGAAGAACGTCGAAATCGATGGAAAGGAGAAAAACGATAAATGTAGTCATTCTTCGTTTTACCACCAAACGCGATCGAGAGATCGCTCGCTTCATTTCCGGTTAACGTAAGTTTACTCCGTAAAAATATTAACGACAATCGCACGCTGCGAAATATATACCGGAGAAGATTGCTAATCTCGCGAACGGCTGATAATACATTTTCAAGAATCGCGAGAACATTACAGATACGTCGCGCTAAAAATCGCGCTAGCTGATATCTCCTGACGATTGATAGGAGATCGTTTCGCGCGCTCTCCTCGATAACGCAACATACATACATCTTCCGTGGGGTGCGGCGGGGAGGAAAAAGAGAGAAAGGCACTAGACTCGTTTTTCTACGATCTCGTCGTTCACGTTCGTCTCCGCGGAGACGTCTCCGCGAGAAATATTATCGGACAAGCCGTTATCGAGTATACATTCCAGCAGATAAGAGAGACGGCCGTTCTCCGCCTCTCCCGGCCTCCTTCTGCGTCCTGCGACAGGACGTGGCGCCCGCGTGGGCGTCGCGAAAGAATACAGGTGCGACTGTCTCGATAGGATGTCTCTATTGAAAGCACCGTTCGTTATCCGCAGCTTCGCGTAGGATCGTCGATTTCACGATGGGAACGACGAGGAGGCGCGCGAACACGCGAACGAGACGTGGGCTTGACGTATATCTCCATCGAGGCGTTTGTCATCGCGTCCGCGAGATCGATGTTCCCCGCGAGCGACGGCGACATCGAAAGAATTAACGACACGCGGATAATGGCCGCGTGAGCGACGTTAACGAGAATTTCCATCGGCTACTTAGCGGATAATAACCTGGCGTCGTCCAGTCGCACATAAATTTCACGCTACGATACGATCCCCCTCACTCCCTCCCCCCTTCCTCGCGAAGGAATCGCAGTCGAAAACGCGGTCGCGAACAGTGTGGCTGAAAATAGTCGTCGTTATTTGTACGACGACAGTCGGTGGGCAGGATACCCTCTTTCTCGCGTTTTACGCCGTACTACCCTAGCCACCCTTAGACCCGCCACGGCGGATCTGCTACATTTCAAATGTCCCGACGGTATCTCCGGCCACATCCGCGCCTATAAACACGAACGGAAATATACTCCACTCTCCCCGCGGCGGTTGCCCATTCAGCCAGAGCGTAGTGGTTAGTTTCATTCACAGCTAATCCCCACCCTCGCGATGGATCCCGCGAGTTTAATACGCTTGCATGTTTTCGGCCGTGCGGACGGACGTGGCTAAACAAACCGTACCGTGCTTCCCTCGAATCCCTCGCGGGATCCGATTGACGTCGACGAATTTTGCGCCTCATCGCAGGATGAGACACAAGGGCGAAGGAAAATAATCGTAATTAATTTCACCGAGACGAAAAAACGTCGCGGAATCTGCGTTGTCACACTTAACGAAGGCCATCGGTTCAGGATAACGCCCCGTCCGGGGCGTTCTGTGACTTGCAACAATAAAATCTTTGTTGTTTTAAAAAAAAAAAAAAAAAAAAGAGAGAGAAGAAAGAGAAGAAATAAAAAAGTGCGCGACGTGCACCTCGAGACGTCGATTATTAATCACGCGTGATCGAGTGGAAATTCGCGCAACGCGAAGCGCGCTGATTGCCTCGGATGACTTCGTTATCTTTTCGTACGTGCAATTATATTTATATATACACTTTTCGCGCCTATCTTGGAAAGTGCCTCTCCTCCGCGAGGAGATGTATGTCGTTCGCGTTTGGAGGCAATATCGCGCAATTCCGAGCGAGCTATTTCAAAAACTTGTGTGAATGCGATATATATATATATATATGTATATATATGTATATCTGTCGAGTGCTTAGATAAACCTGAGCTTAAGACATATAGTTTCACTCTTTTCTCGCACTTAAACGCGATCGCTCTCCGATAACACTCTTTTACGCCGATATCGAGGATGGTCGTCGTGTCGTCGTTAAACGACTAATTTATAATGTAATTAATAGCGACGGATTAGCGGATAGACCTGAGAGTAAATCGGCTCGCGAAGCTCGGTGACTTATTCGCTTAGACTCGTTTCAATGTAACTTACATGTTCCGCGTACGCGCGGCATCTACTTTATATAATGGGGTAATACCGGTTCCAAAGTGAGAACGAGCGAGACGTGTCACTGCTCGCGCGCGCGAGCAGATAAAAATCCCTGAAAGCCGCTATTGACACGTGGTAACATGTTGCGCGGAAAATGCGTCGTTCATCATGAGTCTCGCTGGATGATGTTCACCGAAGTCGACGTTCAGACGCGCGCGCGCGCATGTCGGATGTGCACCTCGCTGCACCTCCATGCAACTCCATTCGCTCCGTCTCCTCTCGCGGGCATCGCGCCCAAGGTGTTTGCATATAGAAGGATTAATCGACACGCGTGCAACACGTGCAGACGACTGGCGCCGCGCAAAACCAATAATAAAATGCGACTTAATGGATAGTCATTTGTATCACAGACAGCGGCGATTAATAAATTCCCCTCTCTCCCATCGTCCTATCCCGGCCTCGCGAAACATAGAAGTCGATGAGTAGCTGATACATCGTCGCTTTGCTAAGTTACAGGATTCGATATGGACACTTCGTTTGATTAAGGACCAGGATTTCCGGTAAATTTAATTAGCTGTGACTAAAAAGAAGAACGCGGAAGAATGAGAGTAAGTGAAGATTTGTCGAAAGATAAACCCACCCTAAAAGATCTTGAAAAGACTCGATATGAAGAAATGTGGCGGCATGAAGTAACGTGTAGCGTACCTTGTTGACTATATTTCGCGAGAGAGGACGTAAGAATGTTACACCTCAGGGTAGGTGATTTTACTTCACTTGGTGAGATCGATGTGCAGGCAGGAAGAGAGGGATAGCGAAGCGCTCAGAGCGTTAATAAATCGACGGTCGCACGCCGTGCAATCAAACCCGCCGCGATCGGCCTCTGCAATCTGCGCGTACGCGTACGTGAAATCGAGAAGAAAAAAGGCGGCACGGAGGAGAAAGGGGGAGGGGGAGGTCCGGGAAGCTGCCGAAATTACAGCCATTACAGCGATAGAGGTGAGAACCGACCGATGTTTGCTTAACCCGATCGGAAATCGACGAGAGGTCGAGCAAGATCTCCTCCCCCGATTCTGCGTACCGATTCCGAGGGGGGGAGGGGGGGGGAGGAGAGAAGTAACGAGCAAACAAGAAGAGCTCTCCGCTCACCCCGAAAGATGGGCGGATTGCGCTCTTTAACCCGCGAGTTAACGGGGCGTATCCCGTGAAACGGTGCAACCACGATTTACGATCTCACGTTTCACGCTCGCGTCGTTTGTACAGAGTGACTTTACCCAATCGCATTTTTCTAACGTTAAAAAATACCATATAAAAATTAGAACGTTTGAGCGTTTGAGAAAAAATGACAAATTCCACGATCCAGTTATCCGACAGAGAAGTAATATTTATTTTTAAAATTTTATTAACGATCTATCATCGAGCAGAAATGCCGGATACACCTCGTATATCGCTATGTATCTTCCTCCCCCTTTTTCCCTTTCTCTCTCGTACCTTTTGGAATTTTCTCTCTCAGTCTCGCGCCTCTTTCATTTTCGTTCGATGCGCGCATTTATTATTTCTCGCAATGGTATTACATGGATAATCGTCGTCGAAATGCGCACGCGTTCAGAAGGTTGAACGTCTCCCTCAAATTGTTCGCGTTGCATGCGGCCGATGACGTCAAGATAAAGCCTCTCACGCACGCACGTACGCACGCACGCACGCGTCCGCAAGGATATCGCGTTTCCCGCGTTTTTGCCTCCCTTTTTTTCTTATCTATCCAAGACTCGTTAGCTCGGTGCCTCGTTCCTAACCTCGAATACTTGATTATGTTAATTTCGACACGCGGCGCGAAAAATTAACAGCGCGACTCGGTGGTCGGCGACGGCGGTCAATCAACAAATCATCCTGTCAACGATTCCACAAATCCGGCGAGTGAATAATTAATGCGAAATATTTTCACTCAGCCGTGGGAATAGATTCAGATCAACGTTGATACTCCGGTTCGTGTAATTTATACGACAATTACGAGAAATATATTACGTCTTTTGAGTTCACATAGTCAGATATGTGTCACGTATTCAAAGTAAATATGCAAACGTTTGCGACGTTTTACGTCGTAGGGCTTGAAACGTTAAATCGTTTAAACGCGTAATTTCTCAAGAACACTTACCAGGACGAGGCAACTTAGGGATTTCTGCGTAGCAGTAGCTCTAAGTCCACCAATCGAGGTTTCCAGTTTCTGCGGCGTCAGGCACTACGGACGTGTTCTTCTCGACGGTGTCTAACGAATCCTCACGGAGAGTCCTATGATTTTTCTTTTCAGAATCCTCGGACGAAGATCTTGAAGGAAGATCCGGTCGGGCGCAACGATTAAGGGTATTTGCGAGCGGCTCGTGTGAAGTAAAAAAGAGCGAGCCGTCGCGCAAGTTACTCGACGTGTACACTCCTCGAGATATTATTGTCGGTGGGTTTGCTCTCGAGATCTAAGCAAATGGATTCTCGAGCGTACGAGCTCGAGTAACGGTACCGGACGTTTCGCGTGTTCCGCCGAGAGATGTGTCACTCGATCCTCTTCCTCGTCGTTACGTCAGACGAGCGTGATCGAAAAATTCGTTCGCCTTGAATCCCCGAATGACTTTCGCCGTTTTCAAATCTCGCACGGCTTCCATTCACTCTTGACGTAAGTCAGGTCCGAAGCGTCTCTCTCTCTCTCTCTCTCTCTCTATCTCACATCGTTGCATCGACACGTTATCCTTTGTCGGAACGCATAATTATCGGATGGCTGTTCTTCCCGAGCTTCCGAGAAAATCACAGATGGTCGTCCGCGAGCTTCCCCGAATCGCATGGGTCACGAAGGACCGGTGGGGGCCCCCTCCCCCCGAGCGAATTTTCAAAGACGAGGCGCGGCGGAGTGGCACTCTTGTAACACACGCGAGAACGCGTGTAACGTATTACGCAAACACGGGCGACACGGTACGGACACCTTTGTCTCGTGAATAGACACGTTAACACTTTTCGGACACCGGAGCGATTTTGAAAATCCGCATCGACGTCACGAAGCACACGGTTCCTCACCGCGGTAACGAGAGGCGGGACGAAGATCGTAGATGAGAAGGAAGCGCAACGGGCGTATTAGCTCGGCATGTAAACGCGTTTCTCGCTCGCTCCTGCCTGCAGTTTCCGTTTCTTTGCGTGGAGAAACGCGAGATGCATAATTTCCGCGCATTTACCACCACGAGATATACGATGATCCCGATCAAGAGGAGGGCTATACGTTATTTCCTTCCTCGATCGCGTCTCGATCTGCTGCTGTTCCCCGATCCCGACAACGGAGACTCCCGAGTGCGTTCTCTCTCCTCCCGTAATTATTCCTTCCCTCGGCGGGAATGACGAATCGTGATCGCACCGCCGTTGCGTTCTCTCGAGCTATCTCGAGCGCTCTCGGCGATAAAATAGCGATTGTCGATCGCGCGACGACGCTACGTTGACGCCCGGCGTATCATTGGCGGAACACCGCTCCGAGAGATGATCGATGATATTCCATCGGTCATCGTTGTCATCATCGTCGTGTCGAAAGCGTTCCCCGCGGTAGTTCCGTCGATCGCTCGCGGAGAAGGCAGCTCGTCGGAGAGATCGTCGTTTCGGAGACAGGACAGGATTTTCTCGATCGGCGCAATTGCCGATAATGGACACGTGTCTCGCGGCGCTCTCTCGCGTGTTTCCCTTTTTACCCCCGGCCGCGCGCGTTTCTGCTCACTTCCTCCCGCGAGAAAACCACCTCCTGGTCAGTCCGGCGCGCAACGATCGTCGGCGCCTGTTTACGTAACCGTGCCAAGGAGCGTTCGCACCCGCGTGTCGTCCTCGCGCGGTCTCGCGATTCGATGTGCAGCGGAACGCGTTAACGCGATGCGGGACACAGGAAACGACTTCGTCGTCGTAGTTTCGAGGTATCGAGTCTTCTCTCATGCGATCGAGGCATCAAGCTGGTATCGCGAACGCGAACGATCGCGACATACGGAGCTCGATACGCGCGACACGCGTGTCACTTCACAGATTTTACGAACGTTATTCGTCGCCCGGAACAGATTCCGAAAGCGAGAGATTCCGCACCACACCTCTTTGATTATCCTTCCTTGGCACTTGACTTAATCGCGATCACTTTCACGGATCTTTTTTTTTCTTTTTCTTAACCCATTCGGCAGAAAATCACTGCTGCGCTTCTTCGGAGTGACGAATCGGCGCGGATTAACAATTCAGAATTTAACACGTCGTGAAATCGGAAACCGATACGTGTTTGTAACCCGTCCTCGACGACGCGAGAAACGAGAGCGGCGGCGGTGGCGGCACTCGCGCGCGGAAATCGGGAGTAGCACTGACTCGCTTCAGCCGAAGCGACGCGGCGATAGGCGAGGTCCTCCCGCTGCGGGTGCCGCGCGCAGCGACGACTTTCTTTCGGGGGATGCGAGTGCCGGTAGGGCGTGAAAGTTACTTCGGGCAGGTAGTCCTCTCGGGGATGTTTTTTAGACGCGCGATAGATCTTCCTTAAAGCCAGCGAGAAAAAATCCAATACGCATATACGATCAGCTTCGTCGCGAGAGTGATCTCGCGGCTCGTGCAAGCGACTGTTCGCCGATGGTCTCACGACGCGACGATCCTCCGGCGCGATTGCTACGCTCGCAACGTACGACGATACGTGCTGTTCTCGCCTGCTGTTCCCTTCGGGGTGAGCCGCGGCGCTTGCCGCACGTCCCCGCGCGCGTCGGGGTGGACTCGTCTCGGCGATCGACGATGTGTACTCCTGCGATCGTGACCAGGTCGACGGGGTGACGCATGGCCATACGGCGGGGACGGCCGTGGAAGCACCGGCGACGACCGACGCTGACTGGCGGCGCGGCGCGAGCGTGAGCGTTGAGCGAGTGCGTTGTGGCTTGCGCGCGTTGCGAGTGCGATGTGCGCTGGCCGCGCGCGCTCTGTCCGTGTTTCTCTCGCCGGTTCGCCACAGCGCGACACGAGCGCATCGGCATCGGTCGGTTCCTCTCACGGACCGCCGGTACCACCACCAGACGGAACCCCAAAGCACGGCACGTCGCCCGCTCCCGCTCTCCCCGCACCACTGGCACCTAGGTGCTGCCCCACCATCGCGTCGGGATGCCCCGACATCCCCGGTGCCGACGACGGGATCCCACCGGCACGCGAATAACAAGCGAGTTTTTTCGCCCGATCTCCGCGATCCGCGTCTACCCTTTCGGTCCCGAGGCAGCTTCTCGCGCCGAAGTCTGACGCTTCATTAACGAACTGCGGCTTCTCGCACGGCGTGGATTCATGCCGTACATTGTTAATATCACTCATAATTTGTATAACTACGGAAATTCAATAAATGTAACGATAGATTATGTAACATTTTTTTACATAATTTTTGTTATGATAATTCGATGAAATGTGAATTTCTAGATAAATCGCAAATCTTGTTCACTTTGTTGTGAAGTAAAGTGTTAAAACGACGTTATATATTTTTCTGTCTGTAGACTACAGATTTACGAATACTTTCAAACAAATAGAAATCTGAATATTTTATCTGCTCGCGCGTCTACATGAAGTATCACTTATCGACGAGCGGAATTGGAACGATAAATTTCTGTAAGATCATTCCTCTATCTTTTCATCTCGTTCAAAGCATTTATACAAATAGCACACGATTAATGCGAAATATGAAACACGTACACTTGTCGACGATAATACATTTCCGAGGTACATCAATCGTCAATCTTCGCTAACGCGATCACGTCGTCGTTATTATTTCTACCCGATACGTCGAGAGTGCTCGTTGTAGAAAGTCGCGCCGCGATTTCTTCCCGAAAGTCTCATGTAATGTTCCGAAAGATTCCAAACAGGGAAGTTTATTTTCGTGCATCGTTTTCATTCCGTAAATTTAAACACCGGTCGATCGTCGCACCGGGCCGCCGAATTAATTTCGATTATTCGCGATAACATCGGCACGCCTCGCGCCTTCGAATCCGTCGTTTATCGCGCCGATAACATTTCGTCACACGTAAATCACACGCAAGCAGCACTGCAACACCTCTCGCGATTTTTCTCATGTCCACCCGGCGCGGAACCGTCAGGTTCGATGTGCTCCGACCGAGCGGCCGGGATGCACCTGTGGGTACCGCGATGCACAACACCCAGGGCCCCGTGCATAAAACACCGCCCCACTCTCGGCGTGGTGGTGAACGACGTCAGCGTCAGACCAATCTCCGGCCACGCGAACTGTCTTAAACTACTTATTTCTCGACGAGATCCGCTTATCTTGATCCTAAAACCGAGATCTCGCTCGCTCGCTCGCTCGCTCGCACGCTCGCTCGCGCTCTCGCACTAAAAATACCGCGAGAGATTGCTACGTAGAGGCACGCAAATTACCGGCCTGCGCTTAATTGCGGCGAAATTACGCGGGATTTAATTTTCGTTAAAGTCAACCCACGTTTAGTCCGCGTCTCTCGAAAGCCGATACCCGCTCACTATCAAGAAGTCTGTCTACAACATGGACGCGCCGTTTAATGGCTGTGGTCAAAGGATATTGTTAAGTAATTGAACTCTCTCTCGCATATGTCTTTATCTTTGCTTAACGATACAGGTATTGGCAATGAAACAAAAATGTTAAAATTGGCAAAGTCTACAAAATGAATAGAGTCATGTAACTCGTAAAATATCGAGGATATTAAAGTGATTGGTTGTTGCTCATTCACGCTTATCTACTTTGCTGTAGAACGGCCGTAGGAGATTGACGTAATCTTCGCTGGCGCATCTATAAAATTATCATCGTCGCTCGAAACTTGTTGTTAGAAACTTTCGTTGAAAGTCAAAGTACACGACACGCCGAGGTACGCACAAACTGATTTACGCGCACTTACTTTCGGAATTATGACGCTCTTTACCGCGGGTGAACGTGGACCAAAAGGTTACGCGCGGATGATGTTGAGCGATCTTTGAAAGCATCGTCGCCAAATATATCCGTTTGAATTTAAGGCCGCGATGGTGCGAGAGAGGACATACCGAAATGAGTCGTAAAATATGACACGGCTCGAGGCGCTTCCTCCCTATACGTGTGCTCGCGCGCGATCTATCTCGCCCGGTATTACGAGGTCCTTATCTCATCTTTGGAACCCGTTTAAGACCCGTTTCGGCACCTCAGTTCTCCCGATTGCGTCCGCTTCAATTACCGACGCTCTTGTTCCAAGAACGGGCACGTCCACCGCGGAATTTACGGGTCCTGCCAATTTGACTCCTGCGCTTTTGCCCCAAACGGAGCCTCAAAGACACACACACACAATCACATCACAAAAATTCGCCGTTTCATTTTAAGGAAAAAAGACAATAAATTCTCAGCGCGATAAATAAAAAAAAAAAAAATTGACGGTTCAAAAGATAAGTTTCTTTCCTCCAATTATCGAGTAACTATCTATCTAAATGCGTGCGATGAGATGTTGCGTTACTGCGCTTAACCCGCGGGAATCTTCGGCAAAACCGAGGGATCTATTCCTCGCTTCGTGCGAAAGAGCGGCTCGAGGATCGAAGGCGAGGCTAGCCGCGATTCGTGACTTTCGCGTGTTAATTTGGCAGGGTTTGCGTGCCGCCTGTATACTTAGCCGCGTAGATAGGCATGCACTTAACACCTGTGAGTCCGCGCGACTCGCGATAAGTATACGCTGGTCGGCACAACTGCTCACGAACGTGGTGTGGTTGGATATCTCATGCGAGAGAGAGGCGTGTGTATATTCCATCCTCTCGGCGGAAAACGGCGGCGAACTCCGGCGCCCCGGGTTCGCAACGGGCCGTTGAGTTCGCGAGGCGCGTCGGAGCACCGGATGTTTCGCGATGTATGACGTACACGACGTTACTTGGCCCAACTACCGCGGCCAACGAGAAGTCGCGAACGTTTAACACGCACGTTGAACGTAAAACTGAACGAAGTACGCGAATGGAGTCTCTCGCAGTCTGCGAAACGCGCGAATCGAAGATGAAGCGACCAAATCTCAAATAAATTCCAATATATCCATGAAGCTAAGCGCTAATATCGGACACTTTTTTTATACAGGGCATTTCAAAAGTGGAGGTCAATTGTTCGGGAGATGATTGGGGATCCAAAAACAAGAATAAAGTTGGTATGAACATAAATCCGAAAATGCATTGTTTTTAAGTCCCTAATCATCTCCTGAGCTATTGATCTCAACTTATGGAACATTGCATCAATTTTTCGTTAATTCTAATTTGATAAAAAATTATCAACTTTATACTCTAATTCAGCTTACTATTTAATTTAGGGTGAATCGAATGTAAAATATATATTCGAATAATATTCGTAGATATAATATTGAGAACTAATATAAAAATTCAAAATTAGTAGTCATTATTCATGCACATGCATCTGCAATGAAAGTTTGAAAAAACGTCAGCAACTATGTGGAGTTGTTTGGTCCTCACACATTGATATGCACCGCGCTCCTAACGTTGAATATTGACGTGACCATGCGTAGAAATTTTCGTTTCTCGGTCCTTCGCTGTTGTCCACGAAAGCGTTTAAATCATGAATATTCACGAAACACACCGTGGTGGCTGCATATAACATTCGTGCACCACATGCGAAGAGCGAATCATCGTGCCGACGACAATGCCCATGCGCCACGTCGTCTCCGGACTCGAGATGTTTATTGTTCGCGGTGCTGTCCACGTTTAGATATCTCATTTATTTTTCGATATTAAATAGGCACTAGATAAAAATAACGATGCTCTATTCCCTAGCCGAGACACACACTTGCGAGAACGATAACGTGAAATATCTCGTTCGCTCTTCTCGCGGTGCGATAAAATCCGATAGCGATTCATCACACGTGATGGACGCCGATAAACCAATCTGAGATCGTGAATCGCGTCTCGGATAAAAATTTACGTAAACAAATACGTGCTGATGAAATAATCGGCCGATCGATGTACGTCGTCGCGCGTCACGCACGCCACATTATTTACAATTATTATTAAATATCTCTCGCACAGATGCAGATAGGTGAGTGCATTCGCGAGGCTCTATCTACGATAAGAAACGTATTTATAACATAAGAAATTTCATCGATAAGATTCCTGCTCTTTTTTTTTTATGGGTTACGTATATAGGGTGAGTGATCGACTTGAGTTTTGCGCTCGCGGCAATTCTCACGGAAACGACTATTTCTCTCGCTCATAAGCGAATAGAGACGCGCTCGTATACATATCGAGCTAAAAGACGATGTCATTAATTATTGCTGGTCGTACTAAAAATTAAAATGCGCCGTTCGTTGCATATTAATACATCTGGAATTCACTATGGCTTCACTGGCGTGGATGATCTCTCTTGCCTGCTCCCTATTCACGCAAGGCGCAAATTAAAATCGGAGATGATCGTTTTGATATGCCAATGAAAGGTTACGCTTACAACGTGAAATCTGATCGTTCGCGGCAGAACAGAAATATATGTCAGTTGCATATTTCAGACGTCATAATTAAAGATTTTAACTGCCACGGCAGCTGAAATACCATCAGCCTTAGGCATGTGGAACTTTTTTTTTTTAAGAGAAAATAATTCCTGAAAGTATGCCACATATAACTTCGTCAATTTAATTTTATTGCTTAACACGATTATATTTTACTATAATTATTATTTAATATTTAGCTATCAAATATTGTCGTGAAAAATTTTTGTATTTTCCCGTAAATAGCAAACGAATAATTTAACAAAAATTAAAAATTTAAGTAATTTAGAATAATTTTATTTAAAATTATTATATATATATAT